CGGGCAGAGAAGATTACTACTGTGCAAGATGATGGAGTTTTAGATAGTGGATGGTATAGGCTGGGCTGTAGTCTGGGTATACTAGATACTTATCAGGCAGCTGATGTAGAAGTGGTTGAAGCAAGCGTATGGTGGACTGGATGGACAACTATCTCGTTAACAGTGCTAATAAGAGACAAAGCATAGACGAAGAGTGCCGATATTCATGCAAACAATGATTGTATTAATTATTGAACGCTCAATGCTGCATCTCATGTTATTTGTTGTTTAAAGACGAATAAACAGCTACTATTTTTTAATCCTTCATGCGTTTTGAATAACTACTTGTTAAAAGAAGCATCACATCATCGCTGGTGCAATCCAGTATGCGATAAATCAAACCTATTTTTTAGTACTGAACTTTAATTGTTTTCCCACAAAGTGCAGTAGAATATACAATAAGTATATGTTTCTCCTTGTGTACAAACAAACGATAAATCTGTCCAACAGTTGTGCATAAATTATGTGACAACATCGAAACGAATATCACTCTGAGCTTATTTCGATTTGGGTCGACCCTATTCCGAATTGGGTCAGATTTCGATTTGGGTCAACATTAGTATTAGTATTAGTATTAGTGTATCTGGTTTAAACATGCTATTATTTTATCAAATGACTTAATTCCAGAGTCTTTGCCTAAAGCTACTACTTTTGTATGTTCTATAATATAATTCTTATTATAACTAAGAGCTAAAAAAGTTAGAAAAGAATTTAGTTATAGAGCCTTTTACCAAAGCTGCTGCTAATCTTATTTATTATCATAACTATCTAATCTTTGCTCAGATTCGGCCAAATTTTGGATAGCGCAAATCAAACGTTATTTTGCGATCTTGACATACATAGTTGGTACACTTGCGTAGCAAGTTTTCATTTTCGTTGTTAAACTTGCATAGTTAGGGGCTACATTATCATTAAAAGAATGGCGATAGATCTTCGACGGATTAATACCATCGATAAGCAGTGGAATGAATCAAGGTTTGGTTTTGCAAAAAGTGCCAGACATTTTAAGGATTTCAAGAAGGCTTGGGATAACTTTTATCTACAGGATTCTTGCATTATAGTCACAAAGCAGCTGTTTCGTTTTAAATACTGTCAAATAAAAGCAATCACGATGAAGAGTTGAGCAAGATAATTTTGCGACTGCATGGATCGTTTTGGGAGAGGTATAAAAACAATGTCAGGAAACGCGAAACCAACTGAAATTGACTATGAAGCTTAAAACTGATCAGAACGTAGTTATGCATTTTTATCCAGTATCATAAATTTAAAAAATAACCATTATATTATATACTCAAATAGTCTACCTTGGGAAAAAAGTCTAACAGTAAACGTCAACTCTTGTTGACACATTTAATATACCTAATTGGAAGAGAAGCGAACTCCTTGAGTAATAAACCACCCACGAATTACAAGAGTGTTTGTGTCACTAAATTATTAGACAATAAAA